GCTGGCGCCTTAGCCACTTGAGCCACAGGCGCCGAGCCAGAACTTATATTTGATTAGAAAGAAAGATCTAAGGGTTTTAATTCATCATGAGCTTACTGTGGGGCATCAAGACAATATAGCAACAATAGCAGGAGAAGAAAGAATCTCTAACTTGACTTACCTACATACACCAGGAGAGCTCTGTTCAATGGCCATATAAGAGTGTGCCTAAGTTGCCCTGCTGTTCAGCTGACATCTGTACTCTGGAGCTAACCATAGGTCACTCATATGAAAAGCAGCTTTGACAAACCTGATAATGTGTTTAGAGGAATATGATCGGGCCCACAAAAGGTGTGAGAATGATGGGAGGGATTACATGTGGTTGGCCTGGAGGCCCAATAGTAACAGCAGGTGCAAGAGCCAAGGACTGAATGCTATCTGAGCAAGACTTGATCACACGGTTCCAAACCCAGGTATAAATTACCAGGGAGCAGGAAGAGTCTCAAAGGGGAGCTGCCACCTCCGCCACACACACACAAAGTTGTCGGAAGGCCTCCTTCCCTGAGGAAGAGATAGTCCATCCTCAGGGATGGTGCTAAAGAAAATTGTGCTGACAAATAGCAAACTCAAGACATCAGACTAGACTCTGGGTCTCATAAACTGTAAAATGAAGAATTCTGTAGCTAATCCCCCATTAATCAGGAAGGCGATATTAAGGAGGACGGGTTTTGGAATCAGACAGAGCTGGATTCCAGGCCTGAAATGGGAAACACACTCGAAGCCTCATTCCCTCTCTTGTAAAAAGAGGGTGGTGATAGTTCCTATCTCATTTTGGAGGTGAGAATTAAATGAGATAATTTACATAAAGTGCCCAGCAAGTGCCTGGCCCTGGGTAAACCATCAATAAATGTTAGCAAATGGTAAGGTGAAGTGATCTCCATTTTATTTGACTATATTTCAGTTTATTTAGGTAAAGCATTTTACCATGAGTCTCTAACTCTGCAAACTTCTACTATCATACTAAAGCAATTATTTAGTAATTTAAAACTATAAAGTAGAATGACAGGGTGGCCATAAAGTTCATGGGCAATTTAAAATAGTGTGCAATTCAAAATTGCACATGAACTTTATGGATACCCTGTACTTTAGAGAAACCGAAAATGTTTTATTCTCTAGGGAAATTAGCAAAACCAAAACAAAACAAAAAACCCCTAACAGTCCAAAAGGGGGCAGTTAAGGATGCAATTTAAAAGACTTGTGATTACATCAAGGTGAAGCTAGGAAGTTATTAATGCATAGAATGGCTGAGCAAGGCTGGGTATGGTAACCTCAGAGACTCCCTTTCTCTTTGGAGACCCCATCAGAGACTAGAAGTAAAAATCAATCCAGCACCCTGATTTTTATGAGGACAAAAATCATTCTTGACCAACCAATTTAATTTCCTTCTGTGACAGAGAGACAGACTTTGGTAACACAAAGAAGCAATCTATACCCAATACTAAAGCTTCAGCTATGTTTTAAACTCTAGGCTGCATAATAATCAAATCTAAAAATTTAATTCATTTCTACTGGCTGGTGGAGATTATCTCTAAAGAGCAAGAACCAGAGGCTAAGGATAACTTTTTGAGTAAGGAAGAGAGGCAAGGAACTCTTTTGGGAAACTGCCCCTTCCCTATTCACAGTGAATAAGGAATTTGTTCAACAAATATTTACTGTCATGTGACATGTCCTCAATCTGGATGAGGTAAGAGAAATTGATACGAGATTTAAAAGCAGGTATACTTAAACAGGGCTTCTCAGTAGACGTGGCAATGGAGTTGAGGCGTGGGAGACCAACAGGAGAAACGAAATCTTTAGGCCATGCCACATGTTTCAGTGGAGTACAGTAAGATTAGGGGGACTTTTTAAAGAGAAGCTATGGGATTGGAAAGACACTTGGGAGAACCTAGGTTAAACTGGTTCAAATGGGAAAACTTCAATAGCACGGACTACAAGAAAGAGCATAGAGGTAGGGAATTTAGGAAGAGCTGATAGGAATGGAGGGCAGGTTCAGAGAGAGTGCCTGTTTATCCAGAAAATTATCATAGAGCCCCAACTTTGTGTCACACGTGGTGCACAGTGTAGTCAGCACAGAAAAGACAAAGATGAATTACATCCACTCCCTGTCTTCCAAGATCCTGAGGATCAGACAACCAGGACAAGAGGAGGCTTCAATTTGACACTAAAGGACAGTGACCAGGGTCCCAGAAAGGATTCCTGAGACTAAGGGGACTCAGGGTAAAAGCTGGGGAGACAATTGAGACAATTGAATTGGGAATCTCATTTGCTTTGGATAACTGACCCCCCAGAGACCCTCTCCAGCTCTAGAACTCTAGTAAAAAAGACATTTTCTGTTGCTTTTACAATCTGGAATCTCCTGAATTCAGCTGTTTCATGGACCCTTCCTCCATCAGAAGACTGCTGTAAACAGGAGAGAGTGGCATTCTGGGTTCCTATCTCAACACAGGCACTGTGGGCATGGGCCATTAGGTGTCCTCCAGCAGTTTGGCATTGAATTCATGGGTAAAGCACTTGCAGAGGGTGAATGAGGTGGGCGGGGGGATCAGAGAAAAAGAAAAATATAAAAAGTGTAAATCCTGGCTAATCTCCCAGGGTGAATGAAACCCAAGAGATTTATACCTTTCTCTGATGACCCATTCTGACTAACTACAACCAGTTCCCAGTCTGAAAAGTCCACAGGAATCAAGCCAGTCTTCCAAAACCCCTAGGGAATGTCAATACACTCTAAGGGAAGCCTTGATACAGAAATGTCCCTCTACCTGAGACTAAAAGGGATTTCTAAGGAATTGAAATGACTCTGCCCATCTAAGAGTCTTGCTGATCTCAGGGTGCTGTCCTGGGGTTAAAGGATCCAGGTCTTCAGGACCACCTGCCTGGTAGGGCTGTCCCACATTGGGCAGGAAACCATAACTGAGTGTGCCCGTCCCAGGTCCCACCTGTTTCAGGGTCCTGATTAAGACAGATGGAATATGAGTTAGGATGGCAGAGCAATAAATGAATTAAATGTTTGGAAAGATGTGAGAACAATATATGTACATATTTAGCGATCACATAATAATTCTCCACACCCATACATATGCATGCATCCACATGCACACCATATACTGACAGTCACCAAGGCAACCATTCCATAGGAGTTTATTTCATGGTAGATTGTTTAACCTTTATCCTCAAAGTACAGCTCTGGCCTTTGACTCTGCTGAGAACTACCACACCTGCTTGGGAAACGCTGTTACATCTAACATATATTAGGTCCCTTTAGAAGGCTCATTTCTTATCATCATTGTGACACTGAATTCAGCCAATACATCATTTGGTAACTTGCTGAAAGCATCGGCAATACAAAATAACCACTGATTGCCACCATGAGTCAGAAAAATTAGAGACAAATACAGTGTTAAGCCTTGAACAGCTTTCATAGACATTTCTCAATTTTTAAAATGTAAATCACAAAGTTTGTGTGAAAAAGGAGCCAGCTTTGGTCCTAAAAGATGGAGAAAACCTATTCTCAAGATTAAAGTGATAACTCTTATGGAGGAGTCATAGATTTAGGATTATCAGTCTTTTTTTTTTTTTTGAGACAGAGCCTCAAGCTGTCCCCCTGGGTAGAGTGCCGTGGCATTACAGCTCACAGCAACCTCCAACTCCTGGGCTCAAGCGAGTCTCCTGCCTCCACCTCCCAAGTAGCTGGGACCACAGGCGCCCGCCACAACGCCCGGCTATTTTTTGGTTGCAGCCATCATTGTTGTTTGGCGGGTCCGGGCTGGGGATTCGAACCCACTACCTTAGGTGTACGTGGCTGGCGCCTTAGCCGGTTGAGCTATAGTCGCGGAGCCGGATTATCAGTCTTTTAAAGGACTTCACATTTCTTTATTCCTCCTTATAATATACATTATGCTTCAAATCTACTTTATTTTTTATTTTAGATTTCATTATTCAAAAATGCCAACAACAAAGAGGCCAGGAAACAGTTAAAACATTTTATCTTAATCTTGAACTAGCTTTTGATAACATCTATGTTTATCTATGTAGTAAACAGTGAGGCTTTTTTCCCTTTAAATGTCGGTAACTCACGGATCTCTTATTTAAGATCAGTCTATGGCAACAGTTTTCACCTCTGTGCCATAATTATTAGTACTTGCTTTCAAAAAGAAAAAATCCTGACCTGTGACTGGATCAGAAAATTCTTTTCGTCTCCTATCAGATTTGCGCTGGGTGGGGAATGAGACAGGTAAGAGTATTTAATTTATACTCAAAATTCACTTTTATGCCCTGCTGCATATAAAGCCCTGAGGCACCACGGGGTAGGGAGGGAAGTCCTTTACTGTGAAAGGACTGCTTGAAAAGTAAGCTCAAGTGCAGAACTAGCAATGGGGCAGGAATGCGTTTATTCTGCCCTGAACTTGTGTTCTGATTTTTCAAGCCGCAAGGGGGCTTCTTTCCCAGAGGTAGACAGAGGAAGAGATGAGGAAGACTCCACCCAGGCAATCCCAGTCAGGCGCCTGGTCTATAAATCGAGAAGAAGATGCCAAGTGGCCAGTAGATGGAAAAGTCACCCAACTGGTGGCCACCAAGTGGCCAGAGGGAAGATGGACCAAAGGAGGGTGGAGGCGAACCTGGGCTGATCAGAGGTGGGGTGGTGGAGGGACAGGAATGCGGGAGAGGGGGGCTGTCCTCCCACCCATCCATCCCTGGCCAGTGAGCAAGCAATGGCCAAGCAAAGAAGTGATGGGTTCCCCGAAGCTCAAGGGACTCGATCGGTCCTCTGCAAGGCGGTCTCATTGACCCGGCTCCCTGGACGTGGGACTGTCTGCCTATCCGCGGGCAGGTCCAGTCTGTCTCTGTCTCTGCCCCCTCCCCATCAATTCTTTGAGGGACTGGGCTGCTGGCTGTCCCCGGCGCCCCCAGTCCTCCCGCTGTCCTCCCCGCGGCCCGGGTCTGCGAGAGCCCGGCTCACTCACCTGCGTGCAGGCCGCCCGCCTCGGGGCCGCTGTCCGGGGCGGCGGCGCTGGGCGGCGTGTCCGAGTCAGTGTAGGTGAGCCAGGTGGACTCGGTCTCCCGGGTCCAGCTCTCATAGTAGCGAGGCTCGATGGCATCCGCCCGGCTCCCGCCGCAGCCCATCCTCCCGCCTTGCGGGCGCGCCCGGCGGCCTCTCGGCCCGCGGCTTTGGCAGTGGCTCAGCCCCGGCGGCGCAGCCCCGGCCCGCGAGGAGGCGGCGGCGGCGACATCCCGGCCCCGCGCCTGCCCGCGCTGCAGCCGGCGCCGAGCTCCCGCCGCGCCCGCTGCCCCTCCGCCGGGCCCTCTCCCCGCCCGCCGCTCCTCTCCGCCTCCAAGGCCCTCCCTCCCGACTTCCCGCTCCTCAGCTCCTCTCACCCTCGCCGCTGCCCCTACACGGGGGCAAGTCGCCCGCTGGCCCGCACGCTCCTTAGTGCGCCACAGCTGGCCAGGGCGCAGGAGCCGCGACTCGAAGAGGAAGGAGGGCCACAGGTACCACGGCGCAGATTAGTTTCCAGCCCCTGGCCTTTTTATCCATCCTTCGGTCCATCCATCCACTCACCCACCCTTCAGTGCATTCATTCATCCACAAACCCTCCATCCTCCAAACCTCTCTTTCTTCCTTCCATCCATCCATCCATTCATCCATCCATCCTCAGGAGGAACACTTAGAAAGGGACCTCAAGCTTTCTGGCTATCTGTTCCGAAAACAATGAAGCTGGGGACAACCCAGGAAAACAGGGCAGGGAGTGCTGCCACTAAGAATTAAAGAGCAGTCAGAGCCCGTGCCTGTCTTACGTGATCTGGAAAGTAGGGAGTAGGGCCTGTGACTGCCGAGAGGGTCGGGCTAGGCACTCTGTCACTAACACCCCTTCTGTCCAGTTCTGGGACTTCATGATCCTCCCAACTTTGTTCTCCAGAAACCAAAAGAGTACTAGGAACCTGGCAGCATGCCAGCCCCTTCTCCGGGTGGGCTTGGAGGAGGGGTGGCCTTGAAACTCTATGGGTTTACTGCCAGTTGTCTGTCCCTGCGACACACTCGGGTCCGTGTGTATTCTGTCCTACAGCTCAGACTGAGGTAGGCCAATGAATTCACCTGTCCAAAGAACCCACAACAGGTGGTTAAAAAAAAAAAAAAAAAGGAAAACACCCTTAAAGACAAGGCTAGGAAAGGGGAAGAATTTGGAAGAATAAATCCTCAACAACCAAGCTCTGCTAGAATATAATAGGGTGCTGAGTGAGTATTATATTCATTCATTCAATGTATATTTCCTATTATAAATCCCTGTATGGCAAAACATTGTTTTAGTATACATAATACTCTTGTAATATATTGTGTATATTATTCATTGTATATAGACTATGTAGTGTGCAATGTTTAATATAACATATAAAGGATAGAAAATACAGGTATGGTACTCACTTTAACCTACATGATGTATAGAATTTATAGTAGAGTACATTGCCTATAAAATTTAGTATGTAGCATCCAGTGGGTAAGCCATTGCCTGGCACATAGTAGACATTCAATAAATGTCCACTGAATGAATAATAAAGCATCTTTTTGGAGTAATTCAATTTGTTTTGAATTATTGTAACTTAATTACAATAATCATAATTGTTGAATTATTGTAATTTGGGCTACAGAGGGTTCAGTTTAGGGTGGAGCCGTCAGGTGTCTTTGGCAAGCACTAGCCAGAGTCCATAGGCAGGAGGGAGCAGAGACTCACAGAGCTGAGACTAGAGCTCCTACTCCCTGACAAGCCTCTTCAACCTCATCCCAGCTGTGAGGTGAAGGGGGTACAGTAGTTTCCCTGGTCCTTTGGAACTTGGATGGCATATGCCCCTTTTTAATTCCACACAGAATACTTTGGTTGAGAAGAACCAGCAGTCAGGAAGAAAGAATTTTCAACATCTGTAATGGAACCTGTGCTTTCTTCACCTTTTTTTTTAGACAGAGTCTTACTCTGCCACCCTGGGTAGAGTGCTATGGCATCATAGCTCACAGCAACCTCAAACTCTTAGGCTCAAATGATCCTGTTGCCTCAGTCTTCCAAATAGCTGAGACTACAGGTGCCTACCACAACTCCTGCCTAGTTTTTCTATTTTTAGTTGAGATGGGGTCTCACTCTTGCTCAGGCAATTCTCCTGCCTTGGCCTCCCAGAGTGCTAGGATTACAAGCATGAGCCACTGCATCCAGCCTGCTTCCCTCCATTCTATAGCAAAGTGGTCCCTTCATAACTAGCTGCTTTGTAACATTACCACCCAAAGAGGAGTCAGGTCAGAAAGAGTGCCAGAGTTAGAAGGTGTTGAGGATGTTCTAGAAAATGAAAGAAAGCTTGGTGAGCAAAGAAGGTAAACATGAGATGAGGTAGTGGAGTAGGCTAGAGCCAAATGGGGTGGAAAGGACCACAGAAAGGGATTTGGTCTTTATCTTAAAAGCAGCCGGGAGCAATGGAGGGCTTTAAGCCTCACACTGCCACCATCAGTTCTGTTTCAGGAAACAGTCACTCTGGAGACAGATGAGAAATGAGTGGGCAGAGAAACCAGAGTGGATTCTGGAGGGCATAAGAGGCTCCCACACAGAGGCAGTGATGGAGGCTTTGAGGAGTTGGGGACAGGGTTTCCAATTCATCAGAGAGGAAGGGAATACAGTAGAGGTGAATGTGGTGAGATGGCGAAGTCTGTAAATGGCAGGTAGAAGAGGAATATTGTTTTGGTTGAATTTGAGATGCCTGTGAGACGTAACTCAAGTGAGGAGCTTAGCTTAGGGTGTAGTTAAGAATTGCTTTATAAATGCTAGGCTTAATTGCCAGATGGCTCCAAGTCTGGAACTCAGGAGAGAGATCTTAGCTACAAAAGTAAATTTAGGAGGCATTAGCAAATAAAAGATTTTTGAAAAGAAAGTCTCTTGCTGGGCATGGTGGGCTCACACCTATAATCCTACCACTCTGGAAGGCTGAAGTTGGAGGATTGCTTAAGCCCAGGAGTTCAAGATTAGCATGTTCTACAAGATAGAACAATGAGCTGGGCGGTGGCATGTTCCTGTAGCCCCAGCTATTTGGGAAGCTGAGGCAGAAGGATTGCTTGAGCCTAGAAGTTTGAGTTTGCAGTGAGCTATCATGATGCCACTACATTCTAGCCCAGACAACAGAGCAAGACACTGTTCCAAAAAAAAAAAAAAAAGAAGAAAGAAAAAAGAAGTCTCTTTCTCCAAATATCTTTCTCTTCCCTGTTTTTGTTTTCCAGCTTCTCAACTCCTGTCCCTCTCTGTTCTCCAGTGTAACCGCTGGAAATATATGTCTGTCCCAGCACCTGACCCCAAGTCTGAGATTCCAACCACTGTTTATCACCATTTTCAAATATGACACAGCCTTAAAGAAGTATCCACATTCTGCATTGAAACATCCTGTGCTAGCAGGCAGTGGAGAAAAGTAAATATCATTTTTTTCTTGTCACATATTCAGATGCAAAATATCAACTGGGAATGAGATTCATTGACATTTGGCCAGTTACAGGAGACAGGAATGAAAATCTGGGCAAACCGGCACCCTGTTTCTGATTTATTCCAAGAAGCTTCAGCACCCCATAGGTTACAGAAAGTTACACTTCCAATTCAGCCTTCCCAAGGCTCTGGAAGGAGGGGAGGGAAAATAAGATGGATAATGGAGTGTTCAGGAAGGAAAAGGGGGCTGTCAGGAGAATATGGAATCAGCACAGCCAAGACAAGGAGAGTTAAATTCGGATTATGTTGACTTCAGACTACCCAAGTGACATCCAAATAAGGAAGATGTCGAGTAGGTAGAGAAATCTGAAGTTGCAGCACAGAAGAGCAATCTGGGCTGGGCCGCAGCAGTGAGTGAGATCCTAGGGAGAGAGGGTAAGAAAGGAGGAAGGGGCCAGTCGGAGCGGGTCGACCTATGGGCCACGCTTACCTGCCGCGGGCGCAGGAAACTTTCCAGCGGGAACTTTGACATTAGAGGTTTAGGTGGCCGATGGCTTCTGAACAAAGTGGGGAAAGGGAAAGAGCGACGGCTGCAGGCTACGTAATCGGAGCGCGCCGGAAGCAGCCTGAAAATGAAGAGTGTGGTCTACCACGCCTTTTCTCAGAAAGAGGCAGAAGACTTGCGTGTCCAGATGGGAGCCAGGCGGGCCGAGGCCTTCATGAAGGCCTTCCCGAAGCGCAGCACGGCCCACATGGGCCAGCAAGCCCCTGAGGACCAGCGGGAGCTCAAGGCCGTCATTCTGGAGTACTTCACTCGCCCCAAGCGAAGGGAGAGGAGAAAGAAATCCAAAGCCCTTTCTGCCCGACAGAGGAGGGACCTGCAGCTCTTTGATATCAAACCAGAGCAGCAGAGATACAGCCTGTTTCTCCCTCTGCATGGGCTCTGGAAACAGTACATCAGGGACCTGTGCAATGGCCTTAAACCTGACACGCAGCCACAGATGATTCAAGCCAAGCTTTTAAAGGCAGATCTTCATGGCGCTGTGATTTCAGTCACAAAATCCAAATGCCCTTCTTATGTGTGTGTTACCGGAATCTTTCTGCAGGAAACAAAGCACATCCTCAAAATTAACCAAAGAAGACCACCTAAAAGTTATCCCCAAGCTAAACTGTGTGTTTGCTGTGGAAATTGATGATTTTATTTCCTGCATTTATGGGAGCAAATTCCAGCTTCCTTCGAGTGAGCGGTCTGCAAAGAAGTTCAAAGCAAAAGGAACAATCGACCTGTGAATTCTTTGCTCCTTCATTCATGACACCTGAAAACTGGGAACTTTCAGTGGAGGGATGACTGAGCTGACTCTGGTCAGAGGCCACCTCCAGCCGTGAAAATCAGAGCCAAGGATGTGTGACATGGGAGGACACATAGTCTGCTGAGCTCAGAAGTCAGGGGACAGAGGGGCATATATTTCTGAGTGATCTCAGTTTTACATTACTCCCCTGGAGAGACAGGACCAGCAGAGCACATAGGACGGAACTGGTGCTAGTGCAGCAGGATTGTCAGGGGTTTCTGTGTCAGACTCCTCTGAACGTTCTGTGATGCATCAGTTGTAACTGTAATACAGCACATGTGCAGGCCCGGACAGGCTTCCAGTAAGGACTATTCCTGCAATTCAGCCAGGTTGCAAGGGGAGGCGATGCCCAACACTGCACCTGACGGCGGGTGTTCAACAAAAAGAAAAGTAAAGAGGGGCTCCTGTGGCTCAAAGGAGTAGGGCACCGGCCCCATACGCTGGAGGTGGCAGGTTTAAACCCAGCCCCAGCC